ACATTTTGGGTGTGTTTTGCTTCCTTGTCTTCTAATTCACTAATTCGGTCCTCTGCTTCTCCTAGTCTACTGTTGATACTTTCAATGGTGTTTTTTATTGCAGCTATATCATTCTTCATTTCTTCTTGGGTCTTGCTTAAGTTGTTGATTTTTTCATCTGTTTCGTCTTGCTTCTTGCAGAGGTAGTTGACTTTCTCATCTGTTTCTTCTTGCTTCTTGCAGAGGTTGTCGATTTTTTCCTCCATCCGGTTTATGCACTCTAGGACCCTTATTCTGAATTCTTTTTCTGTCATGTTGCATGCCTCTGTATTACTTAGCTGCTTTTCTGGAGAGTCCTCCTTCTCTTTTCTTTTACCCTATCATTTTAAATGACTGCATAGTATTTCATTGTACAGATTTTACTCTGTTTTTAAAAAATTACTTTATCTCTTACATGCAAAAGAAGTTTCTACTGAAACTTTTTTATCCACATTTAAAAAGTTTTCTATTTTGCTAATGCTGTGCTTTGGTTTTCACAGTTTGGGGTAATTTCTTGCTAAGATTGTCTCAGGATAGATAAGCATACCAGATTTTGCCTATAGGTCATAGTTGGCTTACCTGTGCTTTATACTCTTAAAAATTGGTGAGGACCCTAAAGAGCTCTATTTATATAGCACATACTGAATTAGTATTTAAAACTGAAGATGGGGGCGGGGGAGGAGGGATAGATATGAAGTAAGATTTATTTCCTTGCTTACAAGTTTTTCTCTAATTTGATCTTAAGTATAGCCATTCACATATGAAGATGGGGTGGTGAAAAGAATTGCCTCTCACCCTAGCCAGTTTGTCTCAGTGGATAGAGTGTCGGCCTGCAGACTGAAGGGTCCCAGGCTCGATTCTGGCCAAAGGCACATGCCCTGGAATCCCCAGTAGGGGGCATGCAGGAGGCAGCCGATCAATGATTCTCTCATCATTGATGTTTCTATTTCTCTCTTCCTTTCTGAAATCATTAAAGAAATATATTTTTTAAAAAGAAAGAGTTCCTGAATACAAAATTTCTAAAAAAAATATAAAAAGAATTGCCTCTTGTATTGCTCTTAGTAGTAGGGAGAGAAGCAAATTGCCTCTTCTATCGCTTTCCTGGATTGGGAGAAACAACCAGAAGTGTGAACAGTTAAGTTGGGAAATTCATAAAACAAACATATACAAGTACACATTTCATTAGCCATCAGAGCAATGACATCATCACCCATCACCTCTGGAAATTTCTACTGTACACCCATGAGAAGAGAATGAAAAGGCAAATAACTTCTTAGTATTATTATGAAAATAATTTTTTACCTCACACCCCCTCTCCCCCTAAAGGGTCTTGAGGTCAGACCCTATGGGAGTCCCTAGATCACATTTGAGAATTGCTGGTCTAGTCCGTAGTAGGTGTTCAAAAAATGTTGAATGTATGAACACAGTACTTACAGAGAAGCAAATTAAGTGCTTGAGTTTATGGTACAAGAAATAAGCTCTGTGACAATTTAGAGTCGGGGGCAGTTGACCAGGATCTAGAGTAGCCAAGGAAGAAAGAGGTTTATAGAAATTTTTCCTAATCATTTTAATTTGATAGTGTATCAAAAACAAAAACAAAAAATCCTTGGTAATCCATGAAGTATAATTTCTTGAAAACCATTCTGTTCTGTCCTAAAAAATATTTCCTACAGTTTTCTGAACTTTGTATCAGAACTTTACAAAAAAGCAAGAGATTACACACAAAATTTTTGAAACAGGTTTCCTTGTAAATCACAGATATAGTAACAAGGAAGTTTCTGAATACATTTTTGGGAATTACTTCTGAGTGCATTAGCTTATATATTTGTCTTTATAAATAGATTTCATTTTTCTTTATTGAGTTAATTTCTTTGCGATAGCTTTCTTTTTTGCCTAGGGCTAATAATGTTTTAGTGTGAAAGTTCTTTAAAATCTTCCTTTTCATCCCAAATCAATGTTTCGATGGTTTTGATGTTTCAGATTCGTTACATTTCACAAACACAAGGTCTGCCAGCTGAATATCTTCTCAGTGCCGGGACCAAAACGACCAGGTTTTTCAACAGAGATCCTAATTTGGGGTACCCACTGTGGAGGCTTAAGGTCAGTCTCCCCGGCTATACTACCCATACCTGTACTTCTCACCCTTAACTACAGATTCAAAGTTTATTTTTACTTTAATTTTTAAGGTTACATCACTTTTTCTGGTTGGTTATCAAAGTTTATTCTTGAGGTGGAGGAGGAAAAAGGAGTGAATATACGTTGCAGGAGGGAATACTTTGAAAAATTATTTTATTGCCCCCTTCCCGTAATTAAAAAACAAAACTTTAAATGCTAGTTCAGTTGGCGAGGTTATTTTGACTATTTGAACCAGCAGCTGAGAAAGGGAGAGTATGTACTCACCATTAAGTCTTATAAAACTAGAGCAATTAATAATGACTTTTTTTTAGAGGATTCTCAATAAATATGATAAAACAACATAATTTCCGAACTGCCCGCAGTAAGTCCTTCTATATTTTCTTTAAACAAATACCTGCTTTTTACATCAGAGCGTGTTCCTTTAACTTGAGAGATTCCTGAATAATTTGATTAACCCTGTGACTCTCTGCCTGGGTCTTTGAATAGTTAGCATTTGAAACGTCATCTCATGTGAAGGTAGCTGTAAGGGAAAAGTGGTAGTGCCCCATCTCATCTGACATCCTTCAGGAACTGGGCTACATCGTTGCTTGCACAGTTACTCTGTGGGCAGGGGGCTTCATATCAAGACCACATCTCTGCACTGGGAGATTTTCTAGTTGCAAATTACTTTCATGGTTGTCATCTCTGGTTGGCAAGGTGACGACGCTTGTTTCTTTGTATTCTGGCTTTTAATAGAATAAAATGTGGAAATAATATAAGGATGGAATTTTTTTTAAAAAAAATCTGTATTTTATAGACACCTGAAGAGCATGAACTGGAAACTGGAATCAAATCAAAAGAAGCTCGAAAGTACATTTTCAATTGTTTAGATGACATGGCTCAGGTGAGTATAGTATCTTTCAGAAAGCCAGACATTCATGTATCTGTTCAGAGATATACTTCTGTTGGTTATATTAAAGGCTGAATCAATCTGTTATCTTCCAGTATATGTCTTTATTTTTCGCAGAAAAAAAATGCATTGATATTTTGCCATGTAATAAAATAACATTTGAATCCTAACAAAGGATACTTTTATATATTTCTTCCTTGGTTTTGTTAAACTGGTTTTACTACATGTCAGCATTTTTTAAAAGATATTTTATTGATTTTTAGAGAGAGAGGAAGGAAGAGAGAGAGAAACATCGATGTGAGAGCGAAACATCGATCAGCTGCCTCCTGCACACCCCTCTCACCCCCATACCAGGGATCGAGCCCAAAACCCAGGCATGTGCACTGACTGGGAATCAAACCGGCAACCTTTTGGTGAATGGACAATACCCAAACAACTGAGTGACACCAGCCAGGGCATTGTCAGTATTTTGATATATTGTTTGTGAAAGTTTTTTTCTTGTCCATATTCTCTACTAAATAAATACAGGATGTCCCCAAGAAATGTATACACACTTTGAATAATTAATAATTCCAATGGGTTAAATCTGAAAAGAAAAAAACATCAACTGAGGTATCAGCTGTTAAATAAAGTCTGTATACATTTTTGGGGGGACACCCTATACTTATTAAGAGCTAACATTTATTGAGTACTTATTATGTCCCAAACTCTAGTTAAACATTTTATACTTTGTCTTTTAATCTTTTTAACAATAGAAACTTATATTTAAATAATACTAGTCATTTTTGCTTAACTTGTTTGATTCAGATTTTGAATGAACAGAAAATTAGCTTTATTCTATCAGCATACTCTACCAAATTGAAGATTTTATGTAGAATAAGAAGAGCTTCCACCTGTGAAAGTGATTAGTCTAATAAAAATAATTTCCTCAAAATTTTTTGAGTACTGTATATAGTTTGGAAGAAAGCAGATAATTGGGGCAGCATTAAAGATTAAGTAATGAAGCATAACATTTCTTACTTTTCCTGGGAAGGTGAACATGTCCACAGACTTAGAAGGAACAGACATGTTGGCAGAGAAGGCGGATCGCAGAGAATACATTGATCTGTTAAAAAAAATGCTAACAATCGATGCAGATAAGAGAATTACTCCTCTGAAAACTCTTAACCATCAGTTTGTAACAATGACTCACCTTCTGGATTTTCCACATAGCAATCAGTGAGTATGGTATGGTTTGGGGCATTTTACCATGATGTGCTCATCCGTTGTGTTACCATTTAATAGGTAAATGGAAATACCACGTGAGCAGCAGCTTTGGGGCTTACGTATTTGGCTCACTGAAGCTTTTCTTTCTCATTGAAAAATTATGCAATTAAAAATCAGATATGTATGTTTCCCTATGGTTATAAAAGCTCTTATTCATTTGATCTGAAAATACTTGGAGGGAGCGGGAACGTTGATCCATATTCATCTTGAGTTATTTTCATCTGTTTAAATCTCAGCATTCATTTCAGTGAACTTTTCATCTCTTTTTTTAGTGTTAAGTCTTGTTTTCAGAACATGGAGATCTGCAAGCGGAGGGTTCACATGTATGATACAGTGAGTCAGATCAAGAGTCCCTTCACGACGCACGTTGCCCCAAATACAAGCACAAACCTAACCATGAGCTTCAGCAACCAGCTTAATACAGTGCACAATCAGGTAAATGATTTTGGAAACTCAAACTTAAGTGGGATAGAAACTGGTAAGAATACAGGTCGAAGTAAAGAAATCAGTCTTGGCTTTTGGTGGTCTTATTGCTTCTTAAGAATTTTCTCTTTGGCAAAAGTGATGCTAGACAGGGTAGACTGATAATACCTACCAGTCATGTGCTGACAGACGTTAAATATAAAGACCTTATCTGTGCCCTCAGACTTAGCATCGTCAAACAAATGCAGCCTGGCTATTGTACTCCTTACTGCTGTTAGTTGTACTGACTTCAGCCAAATGACTCTGTTAGAAGGATTTTCTATGTCTCGTTACACGTATTGAAGGGTGTTTCCAATAACTTTTTGTATGCTGAACTGGAGTCCCAGAACTTACTCATCTATTCAGTGGAAGATTGTACCCTTTTACCATCACCCACTCTCCCCTTCCTGTCCCTGTTCTACCCTAGCAACCACCAATCTACTGTCTGCTTCTATGAGTTCAGTTGGGTCCCTCCACTAATTAACTTTAAGAGTGGTTTTGCATGTAAGCTTCCTGCTTTCTTAGCTATGTCTATTTTTAAATGAGATTTGGTGGAATCCAGCAACTTTTTGCATAGAAAGAAGAGAGGGGGGTTTATATAACCTCAGCCAGTACAAGACCACTTTTTATGCTTTTTTTTAAAAATCCTCACGGGAGTATATGTTTATTGATTTTAGAGAGAGAAGAAGAGGGGGTGAGAGAGAGAAAGAGACATTGATCAGTTGCCTCCTATACACACCCCTACCAGGGATCAAACCCAGAACCTAGGTATGTGTCCTGATGGCGAGTCAAACCCGAAACCTTTTGGTGCATAGGATGATGCTCCAGTCAACTGAACCACCAGGCCAGAGCCCACTTTTTATTCTTTGTGTTCTTATTCAGCCTTATAACATGTCTGAAATATGGAGACTGGGAAAATTTCTTAAGCAGAGATTTCTTTCGAAGACAGCATTACATTTTAACACTTGAAGTTTTTCTGGATTGATTCCCTGTGTATAAAAATATTTTTCTCTCTGTACCAGTGTGCAACTCTAATCCTTTTGTTTCTAGGCCAGTGTTTTAGCTTCCAGTTCGACTGCAGCAGCTGCTACTCTGTCTCTGGCTAACTCGGATGTCTCACTGCTGAACTACCAGTCGGCTCTGTACCCCTCGTCTGCAGCACCAGTGCCTGGAGTGGCCCAGCAGGGTGTTTCCTTGCAGCCTGGAACCACCCAGATTTGCACACAGACAGATCCATTCCAACAAACTTTTATAGTATGTCCACCTGCTTTTCAAAGTAAGTGGGGAATGCCTGTTCATATGGTCTTATGTCAGACTTACCTGCTTTGGGCAGATCCCTCTTAGTTTTGGTCTTTGACAAGTTTTATCTATCTCCAGTTATGAAGATAACGGAAGTTAACAAAGTGGATTTACCCTTTTTTATTTTTATCTAATTGGGTACTATCTGACACATGACAGGAGTCCACTTAATGTTTCCTTATTTGAATTGCCTGATTTCAGTTTTCTTGCCCATTGAGGCCTAATATCAATGTCATATATCTTGTTACAAGCCTGTATCTCAATATGCAGAATATATAATCTTGAAAAAATTTGTTGTAAACACAGTTGCTATATATTGAATCTTATTTCCTCTATCATTCCATATAAAATAGGAGGTTATTTCATTATAAAGTGTAAAAATTATGTTTAAGAATATGGAAACCTCTTAAGTTACATTTAGAAATAAAGATGTATATTTATTGCATTGGAAAATTCTCCAAGTTGAGGTGCTTGTATGGGGAAGGCATTAAGATTATCCACTTCAGCTCATGAATCCTATTGTTCCTACAAACTCCTTCAACAGAGGAACAGAATAGCTGAAGACTCTAATCCAGCTGTGGGCAAACTACGGCCCGTTTGAAATGAATAAAACTATTGAAAAAAAAGACCGTACCCTTTTATGTAATGATGTTTACTTTGAATTTATATTAGTTCACACAAACACTCCATCCATGCTTTTGTTCCGGCCCTCCGGTCCAGTTTAAGAACCCATTGTGGCCCTCGAGTCAAAAAGTTTGCCCACCCCTGCTCTAATCCCTAGGTGTTGCAATAAGATTGTAATTTTCACATTCCCATCCTTTCTCATTTTCTCCTTGTTGTTCAGTCTGTTCAGTTCCTTTTTTCTGAAATATGGGAAATGTGTGCTTATTAACCTAGCGAACTATTTAAAAGGTAAAATTTAAAAAAAATATTTTTTAGCCTCACCTGAGGATATTTTTTCCATTGGTTTTTTTTTTTTTTTTTTTTTTTTTTTTTTTTTAAGAGAGAGTGGAGGGGAGGAAGGAAGGGGAGAGAGAAAAACATCGATGTGAGAGAGACACGTAGATTGGTTGCCTCCCACACCTGCCCTGACTGGGGCTGGGGATGAGCCTGCAACTGAGGCACATGCCCTTGACCAGAATCGAACCTAGGACCCTTCATTCCACGGGCTGACGCTCTAACCACTTAGCCAAACCGGCCAGGACCGAAAGGTTAGGGTTTTTTAAGGATGTTTCCTGACGACACACAGTGACTTTCCCATTAGAAAGTCAGTGTCAGTACCCTGTGGGAATAAGCCAGGATTCAGGCTTCTCATAGCACTTTCCATAGGAGCAGGTAGAACTTTTATCCTTTTATTTCAGTTACTTACTGACCGTGACTTTTTTGTTTGTTTGGTTTCTGACAGAGTCGGAGAAAGCAGAAGGAAAAGAGGGGCTAGGGGAGACTGAGAGATTCCCGGGAGGAGAGGAGAGCAATAGTGATGTAAACTGGGGAGAAACCCCAGGGAAAGCGGAGGAGCAGATTCAAAACCCGTAAATGCAAATTTAGCCTCACTTACCCAATTGTTCCCTGCGCGTGCTTCGCAATAGTACATTCTGTCCTTTGGGTTGTTATATGCTGAGTGGTTCCGCTACTGAATTTAGCAAATAGCCATTCCCCGCCCCCTCACCTTTTCCAGGTTGGGTTTCATTGGAACAACTTTCCAATGTGGGATTCCCAGCTTTTTTGCTTCTTCTCATATAATAGTTAAGAGATGAGGTACGCTACCTTTTTAGTTCCTTTAACAAAACAAAATGTCAACTGAAGAGGTACAGGGCTAAAACGGTATCACCAACTCTTGATATAATTAAGAAAGTATAAACTCTGGAGAAATTCTCCCCATTTGGGAAGTCTAAATCACCCGAGGAGTAGGTAGAGCACATTTTAAAATTTCCAAATGAAAGGGAGTTTTTAAATTAAGGTAATGGTGGTGATGAAAGCTGAAATGTATTACCACATGCCAGTTAGTATTCTGAGTGCTTTTCCATGTGTTAATTCATTCTCACCAACAACCCTAGGAGGTGGGTAACAGCATGCCCAATTTATAGATGAGAAAGTTGATCACGATTCCCTCAGCTGCCCAATTTTTTCTAACTAGGCAGCGGTAGAACCACAGTTTGAACCCAGGCGGAGGGTTCATAGCTTATGAGTTTTGCGGTATTACTCTATACAACCTCAGTATTTCAACTGAAATAGCGGTAGAGAGACGTCCGTTGATTTGCCAGCCACAGCCATGTGCTGGTTTCTGCCGGGCAGTCCTGTTTATTCCAGGCTGCCTACTTTTCCTTCACCATCTGCTCTTTTGCAAGATGCCTATACTCAGAGGAGAAACGGACCCTCAGGATTAGATGGTTCTACTCTTCTTTCCAGACTTCCACGGTTTTTTATTTAGAGGGCTGTGTTCCACAAAAATAAAACACAAAATAAAGTTTTAATCCTTCTTAGTTCAGGGAAGAACCTTCCAAAAGTATTGCCTTTTATTAACTTCTTTGTTTCCACTTGGGTTTCCTGAAACTAGCTTGACTGCTGTGGCTTAGCCTGAGTTACTATTGCAATACCTAGAGTCACAGTTGTAGGTCAGTACTATAAATACTACTTTCTGTACTACTCTGGTGGACCAAAATAGATGCACATTTTGCTCAGTGGAAACTTTTATTCTGCAGATTTTGTCCCCTTTTACTTCATCATCCTGGGACACATAGATGATCTTCTGTAGTGACCATTTCTTCCTGAGTTTTGCCTCCTTACTGTCTGCTGATTTGCAGGAGGCTATTACAATAACATTGTTTTGTCATTAGGCGTGTGTCCTTTTTAAAAATTTATTAGAGTGTTTTAATTACGATTTTTGCTAGTCCCTCTTACGTTGCATGTTGTGTTTATGTTTCGCTCTATGACAGTTTATTACTAAATTAGTTGGAAATTACTGAAATGAAATCCAACGACAGCTTGCTGTAAGCAGCAGTATTAGAGTTATGCTCATTGGCTACCTCCCTAGTAATATTGAGAAAAATTAATTGGTGATAGCTTAAAAAATACCACTGACGGAGGATCTAATTAAAGTGTTTGCATTCTTACTTAACAAATCTGAAGGCATGAATGAGCTAGAGGCCTGACAGAAACGCAGGTTCCCTCCACTGATGGTTTTGAGAGGGTAGGTTTAAAAGAAAGCTGTGACGGCTCTCTCTCAACTCGGCAAAGGGAGACCATCTTGAGCCCCTCTTTCCCCTAGAATGAGATACTCCTGTTTGTAGGAAACATTTATTCAGCATTTGTGCCAGAGCATAATGAATAGAAAGATAAGTGAGACATGGTTTTAAAGGCAGCTCAAAGTTCTTGATTTTCCTAGCTGTCCAAGCTACAAAAGGGCCTTGTTAGAAATCTGTCAGATTTCTAAAAGAGTAGAAAAAAGGGTTTCTGTAAACCCACAGGTCTACCTTTTAAGTATTTTTATCTTGGGCATAATTTAATTCACACATTGGTTAAAGAAAAAATATTGGACTAATTTGTGAACTAGGTGGTGGTTTTGAGGAGTGGAGTAAAATGTCCCCCTAAAATACTCTGAACAAAAGGTTAATTTACTGGATAAATTATTGAGCTTTTCATAATACTTTTCTTATCTAATTTAACCTAAAGTTACAATTATATTTTATTGAAGTCTATGCTTTTTAATTGATTACATTTTAAGAACATGTTTTTCCCCCCCTAGTGGATGTGATTTACTAAGTGCAAGGTTTTTTTGTTTCTACCTATACTGTTTGTTAATGAGAATGGGATGGGTGTTGTGCTTTAAGTTTTGTAGGATAAAAGACATTTCAGAATTCCCTTAAATCAGCCTTCCGTGTATCAGACATCTTTTCATTAATCCCACCTGAAGGGACCATGTCTCCCTTTCCTTAACACCCCAGACTTCATGAAACTACTTTGTCTTAAGTGTCTAGAACTAAAACTTAAGTGGCAGATTATTCGAACAGAAAAGCTAAAAACAAACACCCTACACCCCCAGTAAGCAAACCATAGCCCCAGACCTAGCAAAGCAGTTGAACTGTGATGCTGTTTTCCGCAGCTGGACTACAGGCCACGACAAAGCATTCTGGGTTCCCTGTGAGGATGGATAACGCTGTGCCGATTGTCCCCCAGGCGCCGGCGGCTCAGCCACTGCAGATCCCGTCGGGAGTGCTCACGCAGGTAAGAGCCAGAGCCGCGTGCATCGGTGTCGCTGAAGCACTGTTGAGAATCGGGTATTTTGTCCTACAAAATGGTGTTTGCTTTGAGTGTAAGATCTTTCTTGGCCATGATTCAGTGGACTTGAAGCGAAACATCTACAATGGAACAGTGTACTCATCCCACCTCTGCCAACATCTGCCTTAGACTTGCAGGGACAAATGGCCAGACTTGGAGAAATTGTCTTTTGAGTAAATATACTCTCATTCTGTGAGATGAAGTTAATTTTTTACGTGGGCGCTTTTAGAGGTCAGTACACGTGTAACAACATTGTGATTCTAAAAATGAAAGGCTCCCCTTTTGCTCCCTGGCGTCCCCTTTGGTCCCTTTTGCAGAATTTCACCACAGTTGAGAGGCTGGGTATATGAGACGCCTCTTCAAGCATCACATGCCTTTATTCCCTGTGCCCCGCTGGCCTGTAGAGAGCTTTGGGTCTTTATACCTGCCCGGAACTCACAACTAAGAGGTCAAGAAAATCATAGAGTATTCGTACAAGCGACAATAGTATATATACTTTCCATTCTGTGTATAAATGTTTATGGTCCATGACACATGGGCATTTCTGAAATCCCAGCCCCCTAATTTGTGAGCAGGACTTGAACTGAGTTTGGTAGAACTGACCCTCTGAATCTGGCCCAAGAAGGATGCCTATACTTTTTTGCTTTAGGCCATTGACCTTTGACCCAGTGGGCCCCTGCTGTGCAGAGTTGAAGGGGAAAGTTGTGTTTGGTATGTGCGTTCCAGGTGATAGGAAATGAATTACTGCTTATTGTTGGTAATAACTTGGGGGGAATGAGAGCCCTGCTGAATCCAGATTACCTGCCTCCGTGTTTGTTTCACTCACCTGCCTAATCTACGTTTCAGGGAAGCTGTACACCACTAATGGTAGCAACTCTCCACCCTCAAGTAGCCACCATCACACCGCAGTATGCGGTGCCCTTTACTCTGAGCTGCGCAGCCGGCCGGCCGGCGCTGGTTGAACAGACCGCTGCTGTACTGGTAATTCCCTCACTTGATTGTTACTAACGGAGTTTTTGTTTTCTTTGGTTTCTTTCTTTTTTATTTTTTTTTCATTTTTGTTCTGTTTTCTCATTTTTTCAAAAACATTTTCAACTTGGTCTTTGCAGAGGGCATGGAAGCATGTGCCATCTTGTGGCTGTGTTCTCGCTGCATCTTTAATGTCTCATTGTTTTCCTCCCCATTTGCTGAGGTGCCGTTTGACTCTGGGGTGCCGTGTGGCTCTGTCAGGAGCCAGGCCCTGACTCTTTGCCAGCCTAGTGTGGGAACGGCTCTTGGTGTAGCTCAGAAGAGCCCAGCACCCTCTGTCTTCTGCCCAATCTTTTACCTCTGCTCCTGGAGAGGGAAGAAATGGCTGTTAGTGTGGCTCTGCTGCAGGCACCCAGGTGGCCAAAATCTGAACTGCTTGCAAGTTAGCATCCTTCTTTATTTGCTGTTTTAAGCTTCTAAAACTTTTGTGCTGTAGACATGTTTAAGATGCTCTCAATTTATTGCTTCATCTGTTGCTATTAACGTTCCTCTTTGCCACTCACGCTCAGTGGCAGTTTATATCTTCCATTGAAAGATACTGCCTTAGGGTCACTGTAGATCGTATTTGTTGATTGAAATAAAGCTGAACTCATTTTTAGGGGTTTATGGATAAATTCTTTTACAAAAAAGTCTTTATACAAAGGTGAAAATATGGATCAAAAATTTTATGCAGATACAAGATTTGTTACTAAAAATTCTGAGGAAAACTTATTAAATACAGCTGTGAATGTAGTAGTAGGGGGCTTAGAGAGAGGAAGAACATACAGACAGCACTTTGAGGAATATTTCAGGATTTGTAACTTTAAGAGTGTTTTTCTTATGTGTTTTTTGGGAGAGTTAAAATTATTTATTAGACGTCCATCATTTCATTACTTTGAAATTTGAAAGCAGGCAAGCACTTAAAACTTAACTGATACCAGGAGTCCCGATACTTCTGCAGTCCTTCAGAGAGGCTTCAAGTTCTCTTGTTTCTCAAGGACTCGTCTGAGTGAAAGCACTTCCAAAAACATACTTTGGTTGTTGGTATTTGTTTGGTTTTCAGTTTAAAAAGCCCTTTTTTTGCCTCCAGATTAATTATATCATAAGCATAACACCTAAGTGCAAGGAAGTCAGATATATTTCCAACTGGACTGATCCAAGCCACTGGTCTGGATTGCTCACCTGTAGGGTCTCCGTTGGGAAGGTAGTTGACATTTCTCCTCTCCGCTTCTCTTAAGTTTGCACTGGCCGTTTGCTAAGCTTCGCTTATTTTTGTTCTTCTTCTGTCAAAACAGTTTCGTCGCTTGGAACGCCAGATTTCTGCCTCGCGTTGGAATGTTATTTCTTGCTTTGTATTAAACTACATGCTTTGTCTCGTGCAGGTGTTGGCTTATGGAAAGACGCATGGTGTGACTTAACATACTTCTCTTATTTTTTTGTTCTGTTTTAAATTCTGCTGATGGCAGCAGACATGTTTGCAGTTTCTCTGCTTGAAGGCTTCTTGTTTGGAACCAGTATTTGTAACAAGTGGATCTGTTGCTTGCAGAAGTATTTTTCAAACAGTGTCTGATGGCCTTGCAGTTTGAAATGCAAGAAATAGAACCATATGTACCTAAGCACTGTAGGTGATTGTAGTACTGTAGACTTCAGGTTTTAAAAAGAAATGTTCAAATCTGTTGGTATTTTTTTAGAAAATGCCAGAATTTCTGTAAGAAGTACAGACAACATATCCATTGCTGTCTATTTCAAGTGACATGGCTTGTGAAAAACTAGAAATGCTATATTTTCTTGTAGTGATTAGTTTTATGTTGAAATATGTTTCCACAAATGATACTTTATATGTTTTAGGTAACTATAAAACAAAATATGATGCTCTCTGCATCTGTTTCATAAATATTTTACTTACTGCCTTATTTTAAAATTCTACTAAATGACTATAAATGATGGAGCCAGCTTTCTCTTGCTGGCACCAGCTCGATAGCCAAAGGATTTTGGCCTTCGGTCATCTACATCTGGCTCCATTCTCCAAGTACTACCTTTTCAAAAAAGGAACAATTCTCCCCTTTGTTTTATGGGTTTGATGGATCTGATGTCTTATCTGATTGGCGCTCAAAATTTACATTCCTATTTTGAAGCTCAAGGGAGCCATCTTAACACTTTCTGGGATGTTCTTGAAATCTCTGCACAAACGGTACTCCAGCACTGAACCAGAGTTGACCTCTGAACTTCCAGACCCCTTTGTTCTAGAGCAGCGGTTCTCAACCTGAAAATACATCCTGCATATCAGATATTTACATTATGATTCATAACAGTAGCAAAATTATAGTTATGAAGTAGCAACGAAAATAATTTTATGGTTGGGGGTCACCACAACATGAGGAACCGTATTAAAGGGTCGCGGCCTTCGGAAGGTTGAGAACCACTGCTCTAGAGTACATACAATAGAGTTCCTAACCAGGGTCAGGTTGTGGAGGTGGCCGAGAGAAAGCAGCATGTTGTCTTTCCTAAACGTAAGATGTATAATCTTGAGCCCCTCTGATCTTTCTTTTTTTAATCTCTGCAAGTTAATAATCTACAAGTGACTTCTTTTAAGATGTGAATTTTTCTTTCATCTAAAAAAACACAAAGAGAAAGCCAAGAATGAGTCCAGTCTGGATCTTTCTGTGTGTTTCCTTGCAGCAGGCTTGGCCCGGAGGAACCCAACAGATCCTCCTGCCTTCAACTTGGCAACAGTTGCCTGGAGTAGCTCTGCACAACTCCGTCCAGCCCACGGCAGTGATCCCAGAGGCCATGGGCGGAGGCCAGCAGCTCGCAGACTGGAGGCAAGTTCCTCTCTGGGAGACGTGCAAGGGCAGGTCCCCCAGGGCAGGGGCACCTGGTGATTTGGGGCGACTGGGGAGAAAATGAAGGAATGGAGAGATTTATCTCTGTTTGAAATCCTTCAAGAGGAGAACCCATATCAGGCTAGGTCTAGGAGATGGAGTTTAAGCAGACTTTGAATACAGGAAAATAATGGGTGCTAAGTCAGGAATTGTGGACTTCAGATTTAAAGGAAGTCTGATGCAATTAGGAACCCTCCAGGGAAAGCCTACAGCCTTGTGGTCCACGTGTCACATGACCAATCCGATGCAGCTCCTTTGGGCTCTTTGGCCCTGGTCTGCAGTGTTTGGGGCGTTCACTCTTCCCCATCTCTTCCTGTGGATGCAGGAGTGCCCACTCGCATGGCAGCCAGTACAGCACCGTCATGCAGCCGCCGTCCTTGCTCACCAGCCACGTGACACTGGCCACTGCGCAGCCCCTGAATGTTGGCGTTGCCCACGTCGTCAGACAGCAACAGTCCAGTTCCCTGCCTTCCAAGAAGAACAAGCAGTCGGCTCCGGGCTCCTCTAAGTAAGTCTCGCTGGAGCTGGGAGTTCCGTGGGGCCAGTTTGGGAGCCATGTGGCCCCGCACGTAGCGTGTTGTGTGTGGACACTTTGGAACGAGGCAGCGAGTGCTGCCAGGCCGAGGAGGAGCTACCCTCTCCTCTGGGCGTGCGCACCAGGTGGTCCTGGCTGTGCTGATCCCTTCTCTCTGCTGCCACCTGGGACCCTGGCCTTCAGGCTGCAGTCTGGTTTTCTTCTGCCCACTTTACAGAGTGAAAGTTACCCTGGGGTAAAGTGCATATAAAAATAAGATTTATGTTGTATTTTGGTGTGCTTGTGCCTGGAAACCCTGGCTAGAGTGGCTAGTTTATGGCACTTTTATAGTTAAGTGTATTGGCTTAATGATGAGGTAAAAAGGAATCAAAGAGAAAATTGGAGTTTTGGAAAAAAGATTGTACACAGTTTTGGGGGCCAAGAACTAATGGTCTTTCTTCCGCTCTTTTCCTACAGGTCTTCTCTGGATGTTCTGCCTTCTCAAGTCTATTCCCTGGTTGGGAGCAGTCCCCTCCGTACCACATCTTCCTATAATTCCCTAGTTCCTGTCCAAGATCAGCATCAGCCAATCATCATTCCAGATACTCCCAGCCCCCCTGTGAGTGTCATCACTATCCGCAGTGACACCGACGAGGAGGAGGACAACAAATACAAGCCCAATAGGTAAGAGGGGTGAATGGTGGCTGCTGCCCTCGGCCGTAAACTGTTGGCTTCAGGCAAGTGGGAATGGGAATGGCTGAGGCAACATGCATCGTTGTTAGAGGCGTGTACTCTGGAGTCATTCTGTCCTGGGTCTGAATCCTGTCTGATCACTGTGTGCCCTTGGTCAAGTTTCTTCTTTTTCCTATGCCTCAGTTTCCTCATCTTCAAAATAAGGATAATAGTAGCTACTTCACAGAAGTGTTCCGAGTATTCGGTGAGATGTATGTAGAGGGTAAGAACAGTCCTTCAGAAGTTTGCTGCTGCTATTATTATTACCATTGTCACTGTCATTGTCATCATCATCATCATCATCATCATCGTTACCATGGCCAGACCAGAGACCATCAAAGAAACATGGCTAGAAGGAGGCTGAATGTTCATGTATTTTCTCCTCCTCAGCTCTGGCCTGAAGGCAAGGTCCAATGTCATCAGCTACGTCACTGTCAATGACTCTCCCGACTCGGACTCTTCCCTGAGCAGCCCGTACTCCACCGAGAACTTGAGCGCTCTCCGGGGCAATAGCGGGCCCCTCGTGGAGGGGCCGGGCAGAGGCGTGGGCGACGGCGCTGGCACCCGCACCATCATTGTGCCTCCGCTGAAGACGCAGCCTGGTGACTGCACGGTAGCAACCCAGGCCTCGGGTGAGTGTCTCCAGCTGGAGCTGAGTTCTCCTTTGATGCGCGTATCCTCCGCATTTTGCTATCGTTTACTTGTGCCAATGGTGGAGACCGTGCATAGATTTCCTTACAGATTACTTCATTCAGAAACTAGTTCCTTGTGTGGTGAAATTAATTTTGGATGTCAGTTTCTCTTCCTGTGTTTATTTTGCTTGGATTAAGATAAAAACGAATGTGTAGTCTCACAAATACACTCACTGTTGATGGGAGAAAGTTGACAAGACATATGTTACGTGGCAGGGAGAATTAGCAATGTTTTGTTGTTGTTTTGCCATAGGTGATTTTTGACAATCTAGAAGTATACAGGAACTGATAACATTAAAAATGACTGCAAAAGTGTTTTTGGAAAACAATATGAACTTTAGTCCTTTTCTCTGCCAATGTCATAGCAGCAGTCCTTTTGTGGGCTTTATTATCAGCCTGATCCCTCCGTCTTTTTTGCTGTTAGATGCTGGGCGCAGGCTTCTTGGTTCAGATTTGGGTCATGCTCACTGCAGTACCAGGGTTCCCCGGCTCGACACACTGAGGTTTCCTCCTCACATGACTTCCCATACAAGTGTTTCTGGTTGGCAGGCCTGCGGTGAGTTAAGGACTAGAGCTTGGCCTCCTCAGCATCCAGTCAGAAAGAGGGAGAGACACACACATTTGTTAACCTCTTTAGCCCTAGAAATAGTGAAAACTACTCACAGGCCACCCAGAGCAAGGGGGCCGGGGATACGTAGTCCTTGACTAGGCAGCTGTTTTCCAGCGGAAACTTACACCTGAAGAAGGGGAGCGTGCATTTCTGGTGTCAGCCCAGCTCTCTGTGCCGTCCTGTGTGCATTAGTGTTTTACAATGAATTACGTTACTGCTTCTCATCTGAGGGTATCGCGTTAGGTGTAGACCACTGTCCATTGTCGACAAGGCAGACCTTCCTGACGCCAGGCCCCTGAGCGAGAAGATGAGGAGCTCTGGTCCCAAGCATGTAGGCTGCTCCGCAGTCACTGAATCACTGCTCCAGCCTCCGAGTGAGTGGGGGGCGGGGGGCAGAAGGACGCAGAGTGCTGGAAGGTGAACTTGCTTACTCAGCTGCCCTGCAGTTTCTTAGAATTTGAAGATAATGAGTGCCCACAGATATAACGTTTTCTTCCTCTCAACCCTGTGAATATTCAGCTGTCCTACTATCACCAGTATCGTACTCAGCTTCACTCCTTTCTACGCTTGTTTACTCCCTTCCTACATAAAGCCAGGCTCCTCAGGGTAGGAACTGGGCTTTGCTTGTATTTCAGTTCCTGCTTGGCACCTGCAGAAGGTCAGAGAGTATCTGCTGCGGTGAGCGTGGTGAGGACCCTTTCTGAGCTTTGGAGCAGGCAGGAGGGAGAGGGAAATAGAGTGTGTGTGCCGGTGTCCATGGAGCCAGGAAATAAGACACAAATGACACCTTCCCTCCTGCAAGCCTCAGGCAGGCGTGGACTGATGACGCTGTGCGAGGCCATCGGAGGCGCAGCCCATGTCTGAGCCGTGCCTCTTCGTACCTGACGCAGGCCTGCCCTCTCCTAGGTCTCCTGAGCACTAAGACCAAGCCCGTGAAGGGAGAGGGACAGAGAGTTAGAAACATCTATGAGAGAGAAACATCGATCAGCTTGCCTCCTGCACACTCCCTACTGGGGATGTGCCCGCAACCAAGGTACATGCCCTTGACCAGAATCGACCCTGAGAAGGTCAGAGAGTATCTGCTGCGGTGAGTGCGCTGAGCACCCTTTCTGAGCTTTGGAGCAGGCAGGAGGGAGAGGGAAATAGAGTGTGTGTGCCGGTGTCCATGGAGCCAGGAAATAAGACACACCTGACACCTTCACTCCTGCAAGCCTCAGGCAGGCGTGGACTGATGACGCTGTGTGAGGCCATCGGAGGCGCAGCCCATGTCTGAGCCGTGCCTCTTCGTACCTGACGCAGGCCTGCCCTCTCCTAGGTCTCCTGAGCACTAAGACCAAGCCCGTGGCCTCGGTGAGTGGGCAGTCCTCTGGATGCTGTATCACCCCCACTGGGTACCGAGCGCAGCGCGGGGGCACCAGCGCAGCACAGCCACTCAACCTCAGCCAGGTAAGCGCCAGGGGCTGCTGGCTTCTGTTTGGGGCCCCCCCTGTTGTTACTCTCTGGAGAACCCCACTTCTGGCTGGACTGCTGAATAAAGCCCAATGAAGCGCCTCTTGTGTCAAACGGTGTGGTGTTCTGTGGCCCGTGTCAGATCCGCACATGCTGTCTCTTCATCCGTGTGTAAGGGTGTGCAGGATGCACATCCCAGGGTTTCCATCAGGCTGTCCTGTCTGTCCTGGGAGATGAGAGAAATGTCTGGAATGCAGAAGGAGCCTAAAGCACTTCAGTCCGTGTCTGGTTCTGCACCACCACACGCTTTGAGACCAGATTCTCCTGCTTCATCTCCCAGATCATAAATAACATGAACCTCACACTGCTTGAAGCAAGAGACAGGGAAAAGCTTTCTGGCCACTTTATCACCAGTTCTACTCCTACATGTTGTGTGAGTGCAGGATTTGGGGCCTTTTCCTCCCATCCGATCCTCTGATAGGGTACAGGGAGGGGTCACTATTCTATCTGCATTCACGCTTCCTCAGCTCAAATTCTGGTGCCTGTGTGATGTCCCCTAGTAGTGAGAAAGTGTACATGTGAGGATGTAACTGCGTGTGTGTGTGTGTGTATGTGTGCACGTATGTGTGAGAGAGAGCACACGCATGTAAGTGCAGATGTAAATTCGAGTTAGTGCATGTGTTTTAGGCTCCACAATTCACGAGGGAGATGAAGAACTTAGAGGAGAACAAAAGAAAACATTGCCAAGAAAGAAAGGTTAGGAAAAATGCAGACTCACTGGCGCCAGACTAGGGTGAGTTGAGCCACCAGTTACTAACTTGCAGGAGTGGGTAGCCCTCTGGACTCCTGATCCGCCTTCCTGTCATGCTTAAGAGCAAGGCGCTGCCATCTGGGCTGGGCTGGGATGTGCTGCCAGGAGGCAGAGGGCTGGACGGCTGCCTCCTGACAGCACGGCCCTCTGGGAGGTCAGCGCTCTGGCAGCCCAGCGGCAGCGGAAGTTAGCACCTCGGCTCCCAGCTTGGCCTTCGGTGCCCTGAACCAGAGTGACTGTGAGATGCCTGACTCCCTTCTTCCTCCTTCCAGAACCAGCAGTCATCGTCAGCTCCAACCTCGCAGGAGAGAAGCAGCAACCCTGCCCCCCGCAGACAGCAGGCGTTTGTGGCCCCGCTCTCCCAAGCCCCCTACGCCTTCCAGCATGGCAGCCCGATACACTCGACGGGGCACCCACACCTGGCCCCAGCCCCTGCTCACTTGCCAAGCCAGCCTCACCTGTATACGTATGCTGCCCCCACCTCTGCTGCTGCACTGGGCTCCACCAGCTCCATTGCTCATCTCTTCTCCCCGCAGGGCTCCTCAAGGCATGCTGCAGCCTATACCACCCACCCCAGCACTCTGGTGCACCAGGTCCCTGTCAGTGTGGGGCCCAGCCTCCTCACCTCTGCCAGTGTGGCCCCTGCTCAGTACCAACACCAGTTTGCCACCCAGTCCTACATTGGCTCGTCCCGAGGCTCAACAATTTACACTGGATACCCACTGAGCCCTACCAAGATCAGCCAGTATTCCTACTTGTAGTTGGTGAGCATGAGGGAGGAGGGGCCGTGGCTTCCCTCTCTGGCCCTGAGTTCTGCAGAATGGGCTGTGCTCAGCTCCTCCCCTACTCTCTCCTGAAACTCCTTAGCCAGCCCCTCGCTCTGCAGGGCCCACTGACAGAAGGTTTTTCTCTGGGGAACTTGTCTCAGTGTTGACTGCATTGTTGTAGTCTCCCAAGTCCGCCTGTTTTTAATTCCTTATTTTTGCGACAGCATTCTGGTATTTGGAAGAGTTCAGATGCCCATCTTCTGCAGTGACCACGGGAGAGAGGTCATTCTGAAGTCACCCTTCGAAAAATATTTTCTCTCTGACTTTGTTTCTATAAATGCTTTTAAAAACAAGTGAAGCCCCTCTTTATTTAACTTTTGTTTTATTGTAGTTACTGGTCAGAGGAAAAATGCTGATAGAAGGACTTGGAGTCTGTTAGTGAGGAAAAAAAATCATTGCTTTTTGCTTGTTTAAAAACCAAGACTTAATTGCTTATTTTAAGAGTAGCTTTCACAAGTCCTTATTTTCCTATCAGGCACTTCTCAGAATTTTACTTTTGTCTGTGAGATATTTAAATTTACAGTGTTTTAGTTTTGTTTTCATGTCATATACTTAACGGGCAATTGTTATTTCTGCATAACTGGTTGTGTACTGCTCTGAATTACTATTGGGATTCTCTCATTGCTCTGTGTTCATTACAAAGTAGCGTTAAAAAGGCAGCTCGCTGTTGGTTGGTAACTCAGCACGAGAATCCATGCCTGCCATGAAAACACAACGCACCAGGTGTTCTTCTTAAACGAAGCACCATGCATTATTTTGAAATTATTTTTTAAAATGTTCTCTGATTCAGCTCAAATTTTATTATGGAAAAGCCATTGAAGTGATTGCTATTGTATGGTGGTGGTGGTTTTATTATATGCAAAATCTCTTTGTATTATGCGCTACTGGCATTGAGGAGCTTCGCCTAAAGATTAGTAAGTATTTTCAATAATCCGCCTCTCTCTCTCCTCGCCTCACCTCTCCCTTCTGTTGTCTGTGATTGATTTGGGGAGAAAGCGAAAGAATCTGAGACCAGATGAAAACATTGTGTATAGCTTTTATACTTTAGACTAGCTTCCTTTGTATGCCAGCAGCAGACTGAATGCTCTCTTATTAAGACTTATACAATAAGTGCATGTAGGAATTGCAAAAAATATTTTAAAAATTTATTACTGAATTTAAAAATATTTTAGAAGTTTTGTAATGGTGGTGTTTTAATATTTTGCATAATTAAATATGTACATATTGATTAGAAAAATATAATAAGCAATTTTTTCCTGCCCTCCCAAGATGTTATTTGTAATCAAATGTGTAGTGATTACACTTGAATTGTGTATTTCGTGTGTACCTGATCCTCCAGTGTTACCCGGGAGATGGAATTGGTGTCTCCATTGTATTTAAACCAAAATGAACTGATACTTGTTGGAATGTATGTGAACTAATTGCGATTCTTTAGAGCGTATTACTGTAGTGCTGAAAGCGCAGGGCGAAGCCTGCCAGGAGGGGAGACCGTTGGAATTGTTTTTGCACAGGTGTGTCTGGTGAGGAGCTGGTCAGTGTGTGTCCCTCCCTCCCCTCTCTCCTCCTCCCCCATTGTAGTGCCTTATATGATAATGTAGTGGTTCTAGAGTTTACAGTGAGCTTGCCTTAGCATGGACCAGCAAGCCCCCGGGAGCCCAAAGCTGGTCACTGGGTTGATAGAAGAGGATTAGTAGCTGTGCTGTGTAAACGCATTGTTCTCAGTTTCCCTGCCGACCCAGAAACATTCAAATAGCAGCTGTCCTCCTTTCCCGCCGCCTCTGCCCCCCCTCCATTCCGGCAGCTCAGCCTCGCTCTCACAGAAGCATTTCCCCACGTGGCTACCTGCTCCTGTGAGCATTCAGGAAGCAGGTGAGAGGAGCCAAGCCAGTATTCCATATGCATTGTTTCTTCTTTCCAAAAAGGATGTGCAATCACTTTGAGAATGAGATCCCCCCCTTTTCCCGTGTGGTAGTCCTTCCTGCAGATAGCTGACATTCCTAGTAAAATATTTGCTTGTTGAAAAAATATATGACAGATGTGTTTATACCAAAGAGCCTGTTGTATTGCTCACCGTGTCCCCAAACTACAAAGAGTCTTGTGATGCCCCTGGTGGCAGCAAAGAATATTAAGAAAGTACCAAAGCCACTGGGCTTTGAGGTTCCTTTTTACCAACTCGTATATTCTCAGGGCCCTTCCGACTGTGAAACTGCCCTTGTCCTCTCAGCTCCTGCCTGGATCTGGGTCAAGTAGAGGGGACTGCGGACGGGATGTTCCTGCCCATGAAGATTTTGGGGAAGAGAGTTAACCCTAAGGCACAGAAGTGTTCCATCTGAATAGAAAATGCCAGTTGAGGGATACGTCTGGGACGGGTTCTTTGTGGAGATGGTGTAGGGAGGTGCAGGATGGAGATGGGGGATTTCATGGAGCCCGGGCAGCCAGCCCTGCTCGGGGTCGAACACCGAGGAGCTGTCAAGGTATTTGGGGTTTTTTCTTTGCGAGGAGTCTGGGCTTCCGGGAGGGGCAGTCAGCACAGCCTGCCAGGAAGGTGTCGGTCGGCGCTTTCTGTGTATTTTAAATTATATTGCGTCGTGTTTTCAGCACTCTACTGGCCAAGATACCCAAGCAGTTAGTATCGTTTCTGTCACTAGTGCGTTCGTGTTCTGGTCGGCGTGTGTGGTCTCTGCGTCTCCTTTGTGCCAAGTCCATTCAGAGTTTCTCGCTTCAAAGGCAGAGCTAGTTTCTCATGGAAACTTTTTTGTGTTCCTTTTTTTAAAAATATATTTTATTGATTTTTTACAGAGAGGAATGGAGAGGGATAGAGAGTTAGAAACATCAATGAGCGAGAAACATCGATCAGCTGCCTCCTGCACACCCCCCACTGGGGATGTGCCCGCAACCAAGGTACATGCCCTTGACTGGAATCTAACCCGGGACCCTTTGGTCCGCAGGCCAACACTCTATCCACTGAGCCAAACCGGTCAGGGCTCCTTTTCTTTACAAGAGGTAGGAATTGTTGTTTTTGTAAGAAACAAGATACAGGAAAAACAACCACAAAACACTCTACTCCTGCCCCAGTCCAGTAGGTAGATACCGTTGAAAGATGCGGGAAAAGACGATGCCAAGATTTATCTGTATTGTTACCTTAATCACCTTACAGCATTGTGTGGCTTTAGGGATTTTAGAGCTTTTCAGTCAGTCTGTCAGTTGGCATTTCAGATCCACCCAGGTAAAAACCCACCTGTGTCTGCTGAATGTCTGTGTGCTCCGTGTGGCTTTCGATCCTGTCCCTGGGGTTTGAGCAGTTGGCCTGCGTCGAGGTGGCCTGGCCTCCAACCACCTTAAGGCTGTAGGCCCTCTCAGGAGTGCACTTCCGGCTTCTCCCCTTCCGGGTGAGAGAGAAGGTGGGGAAGGGTTAATTAAATGCAGCCACTTGTCAGGACACCTGATCACTCCAGAGTTCTTAATAACTCCCAGGAGGTGATCCTGCAGTCAGTGCTCAGCTCCCAGCCCCAGGAATAAGTACTCCATGTCAGGTGGTCTGCCACCCACCATCCTCCAGGAGAGGGGGTAAGCCTGAGGGCCCTCAGCCAGGCAAGTCCAGTCACGGGCCTTTATTTCAGCATTATTATGCAAAAACCCACTGGTTAGGGTGGTCTGTTTTAAGTTAGGAAATGAAGTTGCCTCCCAGTGACAGGAATGGCCCAAGCCTGCTTCCTATTTTGATTGTGTTTTTAACTGATGGATGGTGCAGCATGTCTTCATGGTTGTTTGTGGCTAAACTTTATATAATGTGTGGTTTTGATTCAGCTTGAAAAATAATCTCACTACATGTAGCAGTACATCTATGTACATTCTATGTAATGTTAGTATCTCTGCTTTGAACCCTTGATATTGCAATGGAATTCCAACTTTATTCAGTGTATTTGATATGCTAGTTATTGTGTGCGACTTAAACTTTCGTTGCTTCCTCCCTTTTCTGGTCGCGCTCTTCCTTTGACAATGAGCCTCTAGAAGCAGTTTCTGAGAATTACTGAGCTATGTTTGTAATGCAGATGTACTTAGGGAGTATGTAAAATAATCATTTTAACAAAATAAATAGATATTTAAAATTTAATACTAACTACGGGAAAAGGGTCCATTGTGTAAAACATAGTTTATCTTTGGATTCAATGTTTGTCTTTGGTTTTACAAAGTAGCTTGTTTTTTCAGTATTTTCTACATAATATGGTAAAATGTAGAGCAATTGCCATGCATCAATAAAATGGGTAAATTTTCTGATTCATGTGGCTTTTTTACTTTTGTTATATTGAGTTGTGTTTTCAGCACTCTACTGGTCAAGATCCCCAAAGGGAGTCACCAAATGGCATCTTTGGATACCTAAATACACCTGAAAATCAGTAGACACATTATGTATTAGAGACCAATTCATCTTTCATACAGACCTCCACAGTGGAAATGAGTGGGCATGGGAGGGGACATTTCCCAAGAATGGAGTTGCATGGCCCTCACTGGAGATCTGGCCCTTTCAGAGGCAGAAACCTCTGACACAGGCTAATCAAATAAATGTCATTTCCTAGCGAGTTCCACCTGACACTTAACATAGCAGAGTGAAAATCAGAATCACAACCAGACTGCTCCTTTCCCCTCCGCGCCAGCTGGGTGGAAGCCGGGTCCTTGTAGACAAGGAGCACTTGTCATCAGAGTTCTCTTCATCCCAAAGGGAGAAAAATTCCTCCGGATCAAGAATTAGAGGTTTGTCTGGGTTCATCACTGCAGGTCTCTGAATAAATGCTACGTTCAGTTGACTCCTTTGGACACGGGCTTCAGGCCCAGTTAACCCTCCAGGGGCCATTCATTCATTTGGGGCTCCTGAAGTCATAGTGGGGATCTAGAAATGAGACACATTCATTAACACCCTTGTGGACCGTAACCAAGAGCAATGATCAGTAGTCCTCTCCCATAAGTAGTAGGGAAGTCGTGATACATTTATACTGATTGACACTGCACATACATACTTTTCAGATTTTCCCCTGAATAAAATGAATGTAAAGTTAGTGTGAACTTGCTGAACACTCCCCAGTTAAGAGAATATACCTCAAAGCATTCAGGCCAAGGAAAGCCGTAGACATGCTCTGCTGTCAATCATGCTTCCAGTTAATCAAGAATTTACCGACTTCTCAATGACCTGTTTTGTTTTCAGTTTGTTTTTTATCTGTTATATTCTTGTCTTCAGGCTAAATAGGAGAGAGGCTGGCATAGCCCCATAAGTATTTGGGTAGTTTTTAGGGAAATCTGCAATTTAATGATGAAAACACCTATAAATTCAGTCTGCTTGGCTTGCTGTGTGGAAAATTCCACAAGAAGTCGAAGTGGTAGCCTTGGTTCCCCTGTTAATCCTGAGATGATACCCGGTGTTCAGCACTAGGTGGCGCCAACGAGCTACGGAAGACCATGATACAGAAGACCCACTGTAGCCCTTCTCCCCACCTCTTCCCCTCAAACCTCCTCTCCCTTTTCCAGCTTCCACTGACCAAGGCAGAAAACAGCCCATGCCGTTCTTGCTGGGAAAGATTAATGAAGGCTATTTCTTATGTCAGCGCTGGAGGCCTTCTGAAACATGGGAACAGAGTTTGCTGAGTTTTCTCTGGGGCCTCCCCAGCGCCCCCTTCTCCTGGGTGACTGCCCAAAGGCTGTGCCCAGGGTTTCCATCGCCTCCTCTCCTGGGGAGCCTACAGCCTAGGCAGGAGGTGGTTAAGGCTCTGGCTGCTCTGCAGTGGGGCCATCTGGGTTTGATCAGTCCTGCAGAAAGGAGGGGGCGGGGGCCGTGAAGGCCTGAAAGCATTCCAGAGGAGTGAGAGAGACCCAGAGATCCAGAAGGAGAAGGCCCGCCCCCACCCCGCCTCCCAGGCTCACCCACGGGCTCCAGGGGCTCCAGGGGCAGAGGCGCCTGCACACGGCTGCCTGTGCACTCCTGCCCTGGCCCCACTCTCCCGCTGCCATGGGACCCTGCGCTCCTCTCCTCCTCCTGCTCCTTCTGTCGTGGTCCGGACCCCTGGGAGGACAGCAGCAGCACCTGGTGGAGTACATGGAACGCCGGCTAGTTGCCCTAGAGGTGAGTGACCCCTCTCCTAGCCCAGCCTGGCAGGGTGGCACATTTTTTTGTTGGTGCACTCGGTGTCTCAGGCATCGAGGGATGACAAGACAGGGCTCTGTCAGAACCTACAGAAAACTCCATCTTTTAATAAGATTCTCAAAACTTAAGCCCTCTTCACCACATACACAGAGCGATTCAGACCTTTGCGTCTTACCCCTGGGATTCGATAGAGTAGAGGGAAGAGTGCAAACTGGAGCTGGGACTGTGGGGACGCAGCTCAGGACGAGCTGGTGTTTCTGCTCAAGTTGGAAGC